GAAGATTGCTATTTCGATGGCATTTCTGCAGGGTGACCTCTGAGGGGTGTGTTCCATGTTTGCTCCCTATTTGAGGTTCCCAAGTCTGTCCCCTGGGTTCAATGGAATTAAGTGCTCTTTAGAAATGGAGATTTAAAAAAGAAAAGAGTACCGTTTATTGGGTTCATGGATAAAAGAGAAAAGATAGAAATGTGATTGGTTGCCTAGCTCCTTCTGGGGCCAGGATAGAAGATTCTTGAGGTCTATGCTTCTTCTCAAGATACATGTGGATTATTGGCAGCTCCTCAAGCACACCCTGGTCCTCCTGCTCCCATATTTCCTACTCTGAGCATAGCTGGAGGAGTAGGGTTGGGTGTTAGGGTATCACCTTAGTAGGATAGATAGAACAGCAATCACAACAGCTCCAGAATGCCACCAGAATTCAGTCCCTCTTGACCTTCTGTCCATCAGAGCAAAACCCAACTTCTTAATGGCTTCTTTTCCCCAAGCCTACTTAGAAGAAGGGAGGGCTAAGAGGAGAGAGGGCTTGGTTAATGCAAGGGCGTAATCAGCGGTCATTGGGTCGTTCTCCCTCTCGGTCCATCTAGAGGAAAGGAGCTTTCACTGCTCTCAACTGGTCAAATTCTCTTGTTTGGAGGATGTTTCACAAATGACAAGCATTCCTTTTGACTGGGTGCTGTTGACCGACTATAGTAGTCAGCTCGGGCTGCCCTAATAAAATACTGTAGACTGGGTGCCTTCAACAGCAGAAATTTATGTTTTCACAGTTTGGAGTCAGGGGAGTAAAAGATGAAGGTGCCGGCTGGTTCCGTCCCTGAGGAGAGCCCTCTTCCTGGCTTGTCCATGGCCACCTTCTCGCCATGTCCTCACGTGGTAGAGAGAAGGGGGAAGCAAGTTCTTTGGGTCTCTTCTCATAAGGACACTAATCCCGTCATGAGGCCTCCACCCCTAAGACCTCATCCAAACCCAGTCACCTCCCAAAGGCCCCACCTGCAAATACCGTCACAGTAGGGTTAGCACTTAACAACATGCATTTGGGACGTGATGCCGTTCAGTCCATAGCACCAGCAGGAAATTATTTTCGTGAGATGCTGTTGTAGTGACCCATGTCTGGGGCAATAAGGTCGTGAACCCAGCTGGGAAAGGGAGAAGAAACGGATATCAGGAAGGGGAGTTGGCAGGGGTGCCTGACCCGTGAGGTTTGTTCTGCTGACGTGTGAGCACACCTGCATTGGGTCCCTTGTCTAACCGTCTTCTGAGGCACATTCAAAAATGTCTTGGTTCACGGCTCAGATGGATTCTGTGTCGGACCATCCCACTCACTGTTAATCTAGGGACAGGCCTCGTGTGCTACCGGATACAAATAGGTGCCCGTACACCCTTAGTGGAAGGAAGGCAGGGAGTGGCGAGCCTCAAGATTGAAAAGAAGTGAGGTTCTGTTGATGGAAAGAGTGGAAGTGCGCTTGCCAGATGGTTTGGGGAGGAAAAGCTGAATATCGAGGTTGAGGGTAACTGTGAGGCCGCTAGTGCGGATATGGCACGTGGTCGATCATGTAGTCATGTGTTTCAGAAGACATAGGTCACTTATCTTAACCGTGTAGCCGTCACAGGAATCCCTGTGATAAAGCCACGGCCTGACAGTCTCCCAGGCCTTGCTTGGGCTGCTCTTGGGGACATACAACTCTTTAGTTTACAAGGCCGATTTTTTCCTTTTAGAAAGTTCCGGCATTGGAAAGTTCTCTGCTCCTCTTTGAAATCTCTCTCCCTGACGTTTCCTCCCTATGCTTGAACCTGTTGTTGTCTCAGGGATTGCAATCTGCTTCCAGCGTCACCTCCGCCTGCCTGTTCAACGCCAGCTCTCCTCCCACCATCTTCTCCCGTGTTCACTGTCGGGCTCACCCCACACTCACCTGCTGGTCCTGATGGTGTTGAGGGGCAGTCTCTGTCTGTCTGTTGTATGTGCCTATGGGCTTAGGACAGTGGCTGAAGCACCACTGGTATGTGCACGATGAGAACTGTGCTTGTTGAGTGACTGAGGGTAACGTCCAGTGTGGGCCAGAGGGCCAGGATTTGGGTGCCCCCTGCCAATCCAGCAAGAGGCAGTGCTATGACGGGGTCTGTACACAGACTCAAACGGTTCTAGCGAAGTTGCTGAACAGTACGTCACGACTCCTCTGCGCATTGCCATCCTGGCAATTCCCTGGACGTCGTCTCATGAGGCATGAGTACGTGGGACGTAGAATATGCAGCTGGAGGGACTCATCCACTTTCGTAGGTGAGCGAAGGAGGGACCTGGGTGTGGACCCAGCACCTCTGTGCTCCTGACCCACAGTATGGCGCTCAGCCTTAATGCCCTAAGTGTACAGGAATTGTCCCATTTGCCTGAGGCCTCTGTCTGCTGAAATGCTCTCAAATGACAAATGTAGAAACTGAGGCTGAAGGAGGGCAGAGGTTGCACGGAGGGGGAGACTCTGAGCTTTGTGTCCCATGTCCCTCGCACACACTTTTACAAAGCAGACTTTTTCGATTCCGTAGCAGTAAGTTCTGCTCTCTTCTGGGAGAAGGCAGCGGAGCACCACTGTTGCTTCTTAGCGGACGTTATCCCTTCGATCTACGATTCCCAACTTTCCTTCCCTGTCATCTGCTCCGATCCACATCTGCTCTCCGAATCCAAAGACAGACAAAAATAGCGTTGTGATGTGTAGCGAGCTGAGTCCTCAATATTTGTTTGGCACATACTTCATGCCAGGAAGTGGATGGGAAATGATGGAGAGTTTATTTGATACAATATGTGTCACCGGAAGATTCTTCTCAAATTGACGTTTCTATATTCCAGGCCCCCTTTTAGGATAGAAAGCAGAGGAAATTAACTTGACTGCTGTGGCTTTTCAGAACCAAGGAGAGCTGGGGACTAACACTGCTCGGTTGGAATTCCCAGCAGAGCCTCTGCCCAACCGAGGAACACCAGGCCCTTTCTCTGAACCACCAGGTCATGACTGCCCTCTGTCCTAGGAAGCAGCAGAGACCCCCCCACCAGGCATGTTCTTCTTTTCCCTATTTTTACCCCCTGGGGAGTCACATCCAGAGGACACCACTGTCACTCTGATAAATGCCAACAGGGCAGCTGTGGAGGGACATGTTGTTCTTGAGGCCCCACCAGCCATCACTAGGATCTTTCCATCCCCTCAGAAGGCTTCTTGTGCCAGTTCAGGCCTCCTCCCCAGAAGAGAGGTGATGACCTGATCCCATAGTTGTAAATTGGGCTTTTCCGGGTCATCCTCTAAGATGAGTGCAGCAGGCCGTATGACTGCATGTCCCTGGTCCTGGCCCAGAGATCTGTGCACTCTCCACACCTCCCAGGCCCAACCAGCCTGTCCTCTCACCTGGTCCCCAGCCGTGGCTGACCACTTTTCTTCTAGACTCCAGGTCTAAGGTAGCCCCATGGGAAAACGGAAAGATCAACTGTGTGTCACTTATGTGATCAAACCAGACAGTCAAACCCATAGCAAAGCTGACGAGTCAAAGCCCTTGGATGCTACTGGGTGTGTTCCCTCTTGGGAGATCCCAGAGCCAGGAAGAACAATCTCAAAGGAGACAGACCCCATGGGGACCATAGATGCTGGCTGTCCAGCCTCAACTTGACATGTAGACAGCTTCAGGCTCTCCGTCCTGGCTTCTTCACACTCTCCTCCTTGCGTCAGTGATGGGCTGGGATCTGCCTGATCCTTCAAGGGTATTGGTCGTGACCTTGCGGTTTTTCTCTGCTCTGGGGGTCTCTTGGGCTTCAGTGACACAGAGAAATAATCAGAGTTGGGAATGTGGGCATGACGGGCCATAACCCCCCAAGAAACTTGAAAGCAGTCAGGCAGCCCGTGCAGGCCCACGGTGGGCACTGATGTGCGAAGGAAGCACTGCCTGCCTTTGCCTAGACGCCCACCCACCATCTCAGTCTGCACCTGCTCTGTGCTGGGCCCTGTCCTGGGAGGTGCGTGCCCGGGGATGAATCACACATTTTTCCTCTCCACACTGTGCCTTGGGGGACTTTTCCTACAGGCCGTTGCTCAGCCCGTCTTCATTTCTATCCTTCACCACAATCTAATATCATGATCCCCTCCATGGGGCACTTGGCACCAGTCAGGGAACCGACAGTGGAATTTTTCTGAAGAAAAATCAGTCGCCTGCCACCACCACCCCATCCCCCCAAACGAGGGCAACAACAAAACGAGCCTCAGACCCCACACTGTCGCTGCCAAGTCAGCAGCCTTGGGTCTTGTGATGGGCGGGTCCCTCCGTCTTCTCCTCATGTTCTTCGTCTGGAGGCCCTGGCTCTCTTCGTGCACCTCGGTTGCTGGGAACAACAGGACCGTGACGGCATTGAATGGAGTATTCACTGCTGTTGCTCTTGCCCGTGTCTTGGTCACGGCAGGACCAGATCCGGCCCCTCCCACCCCAAGGCTGGGCTGTCTTTCCTGATGCCCTTTTCCAGCCAACGGTTCCCCTCTGAAACCCTTGCTCCTCCCCAGTAGCAGGAGGTTTCCCTTCAGGGTCCTGAGGATGAACAGAGGAGGCCCTGCCCGCTTTCATCCAGCCCTGGTCCCGGGGTAGTCCATAGCGGGATGTGGGTGGAGACAGACGGAAGGAGCTTGAGTGGCGTTTCTTGCAGGCCAGCCCCAGCTCCTTTCTGTCGTTGCTTCTTCCCTTGTCTTCTCGCCTGTTCCTTTCCACCTCGGCCTCTTGGACAGAAGACTCCCGTTTCTTGTTGCAGGACCCTGTCTCTGCGTCCTGTCCAGCTGTTTCCTCAGCCTCCCCAGCTGTTGGTCCTGCTCATCCAGCTGCCTCCGCGGGCCTCTGCGGCCTCCACTGCTTTCAGCCTGGCGGTCGGCAGCTCCTGCCGGTCCACCAGGTCCCTCCATCTTGGTGCCGAGGGCGGGCTTTTCATCTCCGATACTTCTTCAAAGATCACCTAGTGGCTGAAGTCCTGCCAGGCCTTCGCCCCATGCTGGGCGTGCTTGGGTGGCCTCCTGGGTAGGGAGCATAGAGCAGGAGGTCAAGCAGTGGAAGCAGCTCTCCGAAATGACCCGCTGCTCTGGGATCTCTGCCTGGGGCCTCTCCTCATCCTCTGCCTCCGGGACAAGCTCAGCTGGGCAGCCTCTGTCCGTCCTCATGGCCCGATGGAGCTGACCACAGACCTTGTGACCGTGTGACTTGGTGGGGAACCGATGCTGCTCTCTCCTGGAAGCTCAGCTTCTGAGATGGGGTTTTTTCTCAATAGGTAAAAAGGCAACTTCCGGTTCCCATCCAGCTCCTCCTCCTGTAGGGTGTGGACTCTGATTAAATACACATGCCTGCACCTGGGGTTCACCTGAGTCTCTGGGGCATCGTGGGCCGACGATGCCTTATGCACCCGTCAGCTGAGTTAGAGGGAGATTTCTCAGCTCCTCCTGGGATCTTCTTGGGCTTATTTGCTTAAACCAGAGGCTGGCAAATTATGGCTGAGGGACCACATCTGGCCTTCCACCTATTTTTTGTGTGGCCCACAAGCTAAGAAGGATTTTTAAGTTTTTAAATGATTGGGAGGGAAAAACCCACAAAAGAATAATATTTCACGACATGTGAAAATTATATGAAATTCAGATTTCAGTGTTCATAAATTGGCACTCAGCCTAATCCACCCATTTATGTACCATCTGTGTCGGCTTTTGTACCATGGCCACAGAGATGAGTGCTGGCCACGGAGACCCTCTGGCCTGCAAAACCTAAGATGTCTACTGCCTGACCCTTCACAGAAAAAGTGTGCCGACCTCCCGCTTACATGGTCCAGACTGAGGGGGACTTCCTGCTCGGGCCGGAGCCTCAGAGAAACGAAATGATGTCCCGTGAGGTCTCGGAGCCCTGGGCCGTCATCCACAACCTGAGGGTGTGGTCTCACCATCACTGAGGCCTCTCCAGCCAAGCTTTCCACGGGACAAGGAAACCCCAGCAGCCTCCTTCTGCGGCAGGGGCTCACCCACTGCTCCCTTCCAGTATTGGGGTCCTGGAGGAACTGGGCCATGAGGCCACATCCTATGTGGTCTGTAACACCAAAGAGCACAAAAGCAATCCCTTAATCACTGAAAAGAAAACAGATTTTAATGCCTTGCATGTAAACATTTTTACAATTTTGCATGTTTTATATTTGTAGAGTAATTCACTGTTTAAAAGTGAGCACAAAACGTATTTGTCGGAAGATGGATGAATACATTCATCAAGGGGATATAGTCAACAAGGAAACCACTTTGTTTCGTAAAACTGTTTAAAGGGGATTTTCTATCTGCGATTTCCTTAATCAATTTCTTGTATAAACAGGGGGTGTGTTCACATTTTTTTTCCTTTTCAGGAAAGGCATTTTATAGAAAGAATTACATTTAAAGAAGGAGAAGGGTGTGTATCTTTTTGTTACAGTTCTACAAGATTTCTTGAACGGGAAGCTTTCTCCCTCCGTGAGCAGTGTGACACTGGGCATCCAGGGATGGGAGAATCACAAAGTCGCCTTTCTTTGGTGTACTCTCCATGCACAGCTGCCCTCACTGATGTTACCTTCATGCAGAGTTGATCACAGTACATGACGGCGCCGGGAAGGGAGCCGGAAGGAAGTCTGGAGGGGCCTCCTCGGGAAGAGGGCGTTCTGGTGAAGGTGTGTGTGTTCGTTCGTGCTTTGTGTCAGGCGAGGCGAGCGTGGGCGGGAGTCAGGGATGTCACAGGGGCAAAGAAGGGTGACCAGAAAGCAACAGGTGGAGGGAATGGCTGCAGAGGAAATCGACAGTGAGGGGTGGAGAAGGAGGGGGCTCAGGAGAGGGGACACAGTGAGTGGAGCAGGGGATGGGGGTGGGGAGGGGGAAGGTGGAGAGGGAGAGGAGACGACAGGAGCAGGAGAGCTGGGTCGCCTAAGGGATGAGCCCTGGAGCTCAGGTTAGGTGAGGGAAAAAGTGTTAATTCAACAATGCTTTTCGTGGGTTTTCCTTCAGTCCTGGTGAGGAACGTGTCTGCTTCATGATTTATATGGGTCCTGGCACCAGAGGTAGTGACCTCTTTCCTTGTGGCCATGCTAGTGTCTGTGGTGTAGACTATGCTGTCTACACACCACTGCATGTTGTCGGGGTTGTTTGTCCTGCTCTCCTTCAAAGGTGTCCGTGTTTGATTAACAACTGCTGAGGCCACAGTATCTGTGAGTCTCAAGTCTGACTGACTTTTGCTCACTGGTTAAACGATGTTCACCATGAACCCACCCATTCGCCACCTCCAGAGCTTTCTGGACTCTTCCCACATGCTGCCCCTCCTGATTTGGGTTGGCGGGCACCTCCCGTTCCTGTATGCAGCTCTCTGAACTTGCCCGTTGTGTCACTTGTCACACAGCTCCTTGTCCTTGGCTGTTTGCTGGTCCTCCTTCCCTGATCTTCTGGCTCCATCTTTCCTTCCTGTATATTCAGGGCCTAACACTGTGCCTGGCTCCTAGTAAGTGCTGGGTAAGGGTGAGAGGGAGGGGAGGCCGTGAGGAGTTCATGACCAGGCCAGGTTTCCGAATGGTAGAATAACTGCTCCCTTCTCTGTGGAGGGAAGTGGGCCTCTGCCCCCCATCGCCCAGGAGCACCAAGGCATCATGAGATGGGGAGGAGAGGCCCAGTGGGGCTCCCAGGAGGCACACGCATGCTCTTCTGGCCACTGTTATCCCTTGCCCCCACTTCTGAGCTGGTGGTACCATCTCCCCCGCCTGGATAACTAATTTTCCAATATTTCTTTGCTGGAGTCTCACCGTCTCCATCTCTGTTATCCCATTTTGTCTTCTCTCTTCTTGTCTGGCCTTGTCTCCCCGTTCTTTACACTTTCCTGAATATTTCAGATTGTTTACCATCTATGTTTACTACTGTTCTAATCAGAAAGTGGTAGATATCACACAGCTGGGCACCAGGATAATGATGCTCCTCCCCGAGCCCGGCTGTGAGGGTGAATGAGGCCGCTGGCACTTTTCATGGAACTCAGGAGTTCCATGAACTCATCTTCAGATCGTGCCCTCACCTCCACCGCCCCCTTTCCCTTCCCTTGGGGATAAGTTTGCTCAGCTGTAGGTGGCTACACAATTTCACGACTGCCGGCTGCTGCTCCACTCCCCCGGCTCTGGATTCAGGTTCCCAAGCGGCCTGCCCACGGAGTCCAGCATCCTGGATCTGCTCCTTTACTTCTCAGTTCAATCACTTGCATCAAAGTATCGTGTTGTAAGTGTTAAAAACTTAGAGATTATGTAAAATGATAAGTGGGAAGTAAAATTCATATCTAATCTTACCACTCAGATATTAGTTTTGTCCCCTTTGTAGTGTCTTTACCTTGAGTCACCCCCTCCCCCCCACTCCGCCTGAGTCTTTCTCTGGAGGTGCATTCAATTAAATCAGTTGTATTAAGGGTGAATGACTGGGCATCAGACTCTGTCTGGCTGCGATCGAGGCTGAAGCTGAATATCACCATCATTGGATGAAAATCTACATTTTAACAAAAAAGAGGTTTTGTTACCATTTTATTATTATTTATTAATAGCAGGCACATTATCACAGTTTGACCTCTAGATCAGAAGCTGTCATATCTGGGCACTGCCCGCTGCTGGATTGGCCCCATGTGCACGGGGCTGCTGTTGGTGACACTGAATAAACATTCATTTCCAACTGAGTTTGGTGGAGGAACCAGCTATGTTGGGGGTACTTCCCATTTCCCTAACATTTCCTTCTTTTCTTTGTTGTCTTAACTGTTTCTGGAATGCCGATGATTTACCGTAGATTATCTTGACGTCCTTGATTTTGAGGATTTCCTCCCTTGTGCATTTTGACGAACAAAGCTGACAATGTTGGTTATTAATTCATCCTTGTAAAGATATGAAAACTTCTAAATAAGACTTTTCCTTGAAAGATGCATGGCCTAAACAGAAATAAAAAAAATGTAAAAGTCCTAAAGGTTGTTTATTGTTATGAAGGCCAGTATACCCAACAATGCCACAAAGATATTAATTACAACATACTCTGATAATCTCTTTTATTCTGTATGTATTATTATTTATTGTCTTATACACATCTTAGTTGAAAAAATAGTCTTCCTCAAGGTAGTAAGCTAATGCATTCTCTCTTAGTATTTGTGTTATTCCTCCATTCCTTTTTACATTTAAATATTTAAAGAGTTCTCAATAATTGGTTTTGCACATAAAATTAATAGCTTTCACCATATGGCTATGGGTTATCACGCATTTTACTACTGCAATGATACATTTCTATTTATAAACCATCTGATTGGGAGAATTGAAACATATGTCATACATACAAGGAGATTTTCAATCTTAGTTTATGTAGAATGCCTATTTACATTTGAAAGTAAATACTCAGACTCGAACAGTAAGTTCGCATGACGTACCTAGTGTGTGGTGTTGGTGTTGATATACTGTAGATATAGATACCATGGTGACCTGTGTGATCATGTGGTCATGATCATGTTAGGGATGCGAGAAGTGATCCTGAAATAGGTATTCCACTGCTGGTCCTTCCAAAGGCCCAGGCATTCATTCAGAAGCCAAGGGCAAGCAGTGGGTTTGGGGCAAATAAGGCGGCTGAAGCTGAACATGGATGGATCCCTGACAAATGTATATTTGCATAAAGATTTTGTATCTTGCTCTGTTAATTTACCCTTAGCATTTCTCTGTAACATTATTCTTTGAAATCATGAGATTTAATGGCTGAGTGGTTTTCGTCTGTGTGGCTATTCCATAATTTATTAGCTCTTTTCTCTTTATGTCAGACATTTTAGTTCATTTGTTTGGTTCATTTCTGTTCGACCTCAAACTGTGTTTGGACAGTGACCGTGCATCTGAGTCATTCATTTTCTTCCTTTCCCATCGCATCCTTGGCCGCTGTGCCCGGGGCCTCTGCAGGAATCAAGAGCTGGTCTCTCCCCTTTCACGCAGGAAGGTTCTCACCTATTTGAAGGCGGTTTCATCTCTGCTCTTGCCTCAGGGACTCTCCTCCAAGCAGAGAAGTTTTGTCTCATCAGCAGCTTCCCCTCCATGCAGCGTTTGAACTCCACCATCCCGTGGCCCTCTCTTGTATTTTTGAGTCTTGAGAATCAGCCCCCCTGGCAAGGTCTCCCGGATCAGCCCGCACCCTGCGCTTTCTCCTGGGAGAGCTGTCCTGCAGCATTGAAGACTCAGGCCGTCGGGGGCCACAGCCTGGTTTTAGCCGAGGTTCCCAGTACGACCTTCTCAGGGGCAGCCTGTTCCCTGACAGACCCTGATCCTTCCAATCCAAGTGTTCTGGCCTGTCTGCTGCGTGGCTGATGAAACCCACTTTCGTTTGATGGTCTCTGGCTGTGGGACTTGACTCAGGCCTGAGGCAGGTCATGGGTGGATGTCCCGTTGTGGTTAGACGCACAGGCCCTTGTTTGTCATCACGGAGGGGGGCCAGTTTGAGTGTGGAGTTCGCCCTTATTCCCTTGCTCCAGAGTCCTAACCTCAGCAGTCACCTCCCTCCCTTTCTTCCGTTGGAATTACTGGTTCCCATCTCCTTGCTGGGTCTGTGTTTTTCACCCTTTTTATAAAGTCCAGGGCAGGGATGCTGGGACTTCAGCCAGCAGGGTGCGTGTGGACACTAATCTCGGAATACGGGTGCTGACACCCTCGTGGGCTCTTGGTGCAGCGCCCACCTTCCGAAGGGCACAGCGCATGCCCTCTCTGGCCTGGAGCCGGAGCTCTGCCTAAGCCAGCACCATTAGCTGAGGTGAGAGGGCATCTCCCAGGCTGCCTGGGGACGAGTTCCAGTTCCCTAACGCCAGACCTGCCAGCCACCAGGAGTGACTCAGGCACACGCCAGGGCTTAGCATCCAGGTCCAAGAGGACCTGGCCTCTTCCTCCTTTTTTGGGCCCATTGGCCATCTCTTCCTGTGTCTGCCACCTCCTGCACTGCTGAGGGACCCCCGCCCAGCCTGCTTGTTGGATGAGGGCTGCCTGACACAGGATGCTCTAGCTAGCATCTTCTAAAGTCCAGCAAGGTCCTGGAGTCGAGTCTTCTGGCTCTCAGGCTATGATTTTTCTGTAGTGTGCCACAAAAATCCCAGCCCATGGAGGTCCACTGGGGATTGTGTGCCCTGCCTCCCTTCCAGAAGTGGAAGGGACCCTCCCTCACCTGCGTGTAAGGAGGGACCCTGTCTAATCTCTCCCTGAAACGTTTTGCTAACAGTCTAGATATTTCAAATGTGTGTCGTGGTTGCACAAGAAACCCAAGTCACCGATTTTTTCAGGACCTAAGCAGTTAACGTTAGAAATTTTGCTGCAAATAAATTGATCAGTATGCAAGACAGTTGTCACGGCTGAATCATGGTCCACAGTTAAGGTAAACAGATCTGTGATGACATTTTCTGAGCGGAATACAAATGCGGCTCATTTCCTCCCAGAGGTTTCTGACATTTCTCCCACACGGATAGCAGATTCTTCTAAGAAGGTATTGGTTGCAAGGAAGAAGGATCTTTGTTTGATCCCTCTGAAAAGGTAGGGCTGTGGTATTCAATGGGCTTTCTGTGAAAAGAATTGTTTTATGAGAGAGAAAGATTGAGGAGAGCGTTTGTCCTGGTTTAGCACTCTCTGCTCACTCCTCTCCCACCCATGGAGAGACC